GGAAGCTGAGAACTGGCGACTTTCTAGTACAACTTTAGTACGCGGAGCAATCTGTGGAGCTGGAAGCTGAGAACTGGCGACTTTGTAGTACAACTTTAGTACGCGGAGTAGCTGTGGAGCTGGAAGCTGAGAACTGGTGAGTTTCTAGTACAACTAAGTTATATTGCTGGCATTCAGGTTTATATTGCTGGCATTCAGGTTTGGAAACTTTCTGGAAAAATGCTCCGCTACCACATGCAATACTTGCTGGCATGGCAAAGATTCAGTCTTTGAGTCAGCACTTTCATTGTTTGAAAGAACCACTTCCAGTGAAGGAGTTGAACTTGAGCCAAGATAACCAACAAAAAGGAATCAACTTAGGTCTAGAGAACATTACCACCACAATAGGATATGGCCAACAGGGCTTAGAAAATATCTATGTGCGTGTTTGAATACACTCTCCTCGCACACCGCTGCTGAACTAAAAATATTCAGCCTGACGAAGCACAAGTGAGCCTCTCAGCACAGCAACCTCGGGATGCAAAAACCCAAAGAGGTCAGGCAATTTGTTATCCAACATATTCTTTACCAAACGTGGGAAATCTTGGAACCATGTTCCAAGCAGAGTTGGCATCTTTGGGTTTTGGCAATCGATTTGGACGCCCTTCATAGGAACATGTACTGCGTATGAGTCTGTGCTCAGTGTATATTGTATCAGGATCTAACCAACTAAGGCCTCAGGAGAGCACAGATTCCAGAGTGGTCGAGCGGTCGTCGCAGGGGGTTCATTGAGGCCGGCCTCGGGCCGGCGCATGGCTCAAGACGTCGCCATCTCTGTGCAGTTCACGCCTCCTCTTGAAGAGAGGAGGTGTGAACTGCACCAATAGGTGAACCTAGTGACATCTAATGAACATGTTCTTCATGTTTTGGAGATGGTCTGAACTGTTCAACAAACAGAACCTCTGCACATCAGTGAACCCATCAACTGGAATCTCCATCACAAAGATTCAACATTGGCACTGTGATTTTTACTTCTCGCGCTCGGGTTGATCAGCCATTTACCCCTGGCCAAAAGATCTCAGTGTGCATCAACACTGAGTACCAAGCTTGCCACAACACTCCAAACAAGAATTTCCTCAAAGTTCCTAACAGTTCTGAGAACAAAACAACTGTTCATCAACACTGAACATCAATCAGTTTTGGGTTCCGATCCGGGTGGCCATGAGCTGAGCCCTCAAGGGGCTTTCCATCCAGGCCGCGTTGGCCGCTTTGCGGCGTTCGTTCGACGGGGCCATGCCAGACGCAGCAATCCATTCTGAAACAAAACGATTTCGGGCGTCAAGCGTGGACACGTAGGGAATCGGGGGCGCCGGCTCAGTGCTCTCAGCTGTAGGCTCCGCTGCAGGAGGAGGGACGCGTGGGACTCCTTTCTTGACCCACTTGGCGTGCCAGGCGTCGGAGTTCCTGCGGTGGATGATCTTCTTCATCTCTTCAGCAGAAGGCTGGCTAGCACCGGGCGTTGCGTTGTCCACAGAAGGTTGTGGAGGAGCTTCCACAAATTCTGGGAGAGGATCTGGAGATGTGGGAGCAGCATTTGATGGGGCTGGAGCATTGCCATCACTACCATGTCCACCATCACGACCATCCTGTGTCCCCGATGTTGACTTCTTCAAAGCCTTTTGAGGGGTTGCAATAGCATCAATGGCTGCCTGATCCAAACAAGCCTTCCGCTTGATCCCACCAAAGTGTTCAACAGCGTGAACAGTGGGGGCATCTTCAAAGACCAACTCCTTCCGAACAGCTAGATCAGCAGCCCTCAACTGCTTAGCAAGCTCATCCATTGACTCTGGATCAGTTGAAGGCTCTTCAAAAACCCCGGATGGTGGGTCCAGTTGTGAATCCTGCATGTTCTCCCACTCCTCCTGTTGTTCCAGGCCATCTTGTCCAGAAGGTGGGCCAGTCCTGGGAAGGAGTGGTGGTGGGGCCCATGTATTACCTACAAAAAAATGTGTATATATATATAAACATATATTATATATAAATAAAATTTGGAAAACAATCATTCTGATCAAGGCTCTCTACAGGTTGAGCCATCTTTGAAACTGGCGGGGCCGTCGTAAGGCAAAACACACCAGGAGAAGGGCGAGGAGCATCATGGATAAACATTGAACGGGCAGACTCGGTCTGCTTGGGGGGCACCGCTGTCAATGCACAGAGGTGCAATCTCATACTCCATCAAGTCATCGTCAATGACAACTTGGGTCATCACCATTGAGAGGGATGAGCGGTGCAGCGGTGCAGCCAAGGAACTAACAAATAGGATTGAACCCCAAAAGCCTTCCACATGTAATATATTCGGTTCATCGAAACAGTTTCCAACCCCAAGAATATCTTTAGATATCTTTAGGTCAAGCTCCCAAGGCTTATGCTGGGTCCATGTGAATGTGCAAGCTGTCCTGTTTTCACTCTCACTCATCTTCGCTCCTATCGGTTGGCGCAAAAGCCTACCCCTGTACATCACTCAATTTGGATGTAGAGGCTGTGCCAAGATGTTCACACCACATCGTGTGCTTTAACCCCATAATCATAAAATCTGCTGGTTCAACCTAGGGCCATGATCAGGCAATGCGTTTGACTGCATGCTTCACCAACTCCAGATCTCCTGGCAGGTACCAGAGCGGCTTTGCTGCTGCCACACACTTCTCGGTTGGATAGCGTCGAAGGCGCCATACCTGATGGATGACAATGGGTGTTCAGGGAAGAACTGCTTGTGATTCATATTCCCACAAAATATCACATAATGAAAAACTATAGCAATAGGAATCAACATGAACCTATATATGGTCCCAGACACCAGCCGCAAAGGGCTTTTCTCCAACAAGTCATAGTTGAAGTGACTTGCGATGTTGGCGGCCTTGAGGTTCTTGCTGGGAATCTGGTTGGGTCGCCACAAGAGGGAATTGCCACCATCTGCTTGGATGACAAAGTGATCCGAAGCACGCCCTTGTTGAACAAGTGGGGGCCTGCTGCACGAGTGCCCACCTAGAGTGAACTCGACCATCCCGTCAGACTCTACCTTTTGCAAGGCTGCTCGTAGCGACATGATTTGAGAGTCAGAGTTGCCCTCCTAACAGGGTTCATTGACCAATATGCATGAATCAAAGATCAACCCCATCAGTTGAAAATGATTGAACATGTTTTTTTACAGTAAATCCTATTTGGCAACCAGTATCCTCCAGCACCACGAGGCCCTGATCATCAGACCATTTGCAGGGCACTCCACGACCAGGGTGTTCCCCCTCAAACTTATCTGCCTTCTCTCCAAGCAACCAAACCCCAGCACCGTGGGACATGATCGCAGCGTTGGAAGCCTTGATGCTCATGGCGTCAGTAGCGACCACGAAGATCTTGGGCCCAGGGACAAGGATGAAATTGAAAGAGGTGCCCCCCTGGCATTTCTGTGAAGTCAGGATACTTTTGCTTGACATCATCCAGCTTGGTTGGCTCATCAGGGAAGTGCGCCGACCAATCAAAGCTACCTGTCAGGTGTGCCTCTTCCTTCACCGGGCTCCCAAGGGTCTGCGACCCATCAGGACTGGCAGTCGTGCTTTGGGTGGCTGGTGAATCAGGAAGCGGCGTGCTCCACTGTTTGTCAAACTCAGTGACAATTTGTCGCCACTCCACCCCCCAAACAGGATCTTGAAGGAATTGTGCACGCACATCCCGGGGCAAAATGAGCTTGTTGTTCTCACCCACTTGGCAAATCTTCAGTGTTGGAAGCTCAGCTGCCTTTGGAAGGTCCTCTGAGGGCGCATCCTTTTTGTACCTGGGGGTAAGGTGCTGCATTGGCGCTGCACCCTTCTTCCAAGCCTGACAGGACTCAAAATCCAGTTTTTGTGTCAATCAACCCAATTGCAAACAGCTCATGATTATTGATTCCCCTGGATTCAACTGTCAACTTTGAAACATGGTTCCATGTTGATGGAATAGGCGAACCTGCAAGAGGTGGTTCTTCACAACTTCTCTCGAGCACTTGTGATAGCTCTCCACTGCCGATGATCCCACCGCAGCGTACCCATGTTGAAGGCAAGCTAGCTCCACACACCCGTCGTAAGTGGTAGGGTGCAAGACAACCACTGCTGATGGGGTCTTCAAGTGGCCTCAGGTTTAGAGGGGCTTTGCTACAAACTGATTCTTGTGGCATTTGGTTGGATCTGAATGGGCTTACACAAGTGTCAAATAACCGACCCACATATCAGAATCCATATTCAGTCCAAGCCCCAATAAATGTTTGTTAAACCTGCTGACAAGTCACTGCAAAGATGCTCCAGAACCGCTGATGGCACTGCTTGGCCTCCAAGCCATTGGCTTGTTTCTTGGAGATCCGTTAGATTCCGCCTCTCACTGTGAGAGAGGAGCGCTTCGCCTGGAACGACAAACTCCTTTTCTGGCAAGGCAGGTGGGAATGCAGTGGCAGGAAGGGCCTGGCGCAGCCACAAAGGGCTGGAACAGAACCTGGGCTTGGCGTTGGTTTCAAATAGAGTAGGGTTGAACGTTTTTGCGCCAAAAAGACAAGCGAATATATACATATTGAACATGCACCAATGAAGCCACAGGCACACATTCACTGAGCTCTCGGGTTCTGGCACACCACCCCGAACAACCCTGTGAGCTGTGCCCCTCAACGGTAATGATGAATCCAGGACCCCGATGTAGCACACGAACCCCATTGGAAGTTCCCGGTTCTTGTGGAGCTGGTCAATGTTCAGGTTCAAAGTGAACGATCGAAGTTCGATCTTGTGAGCGTTCAGCTTGTCTTCCAACTTCCTGGATAAACAAAGAGGTCTTCAGGCTGGATCACTACACAGAAGTAAAGTTCCCAACAAATCCACAAAACATGTTTTCTTGAGTGGGTTAAAGCCAATTCTTTTTGCACCCCACCCATTCCTGATATCTTTCCGCAATGTGCCAGCGCTGTCGGAGCCCACCAGCAGCGGCGGGATCAGCACCAGAGCGCTACCTAATTTAGGGGGGACGTTGCAGCGCCCATCACCCATTGATAGACAATTGAAAAACAACCAAACATAACCTAACCTAGTTCAATGGTGTTTGAACCTGAAGGAATAAATTGAAACTAGCTGCGGGAAGGGTTTCGCATCAAATGCCGCTCTGCCATGCTACCAATGTGGTTGATTTCACCTTGCTGCAAGACACCAAGTTTGGTGCAATCCACATAAAGCAGTGAGTAGACGTCAGTCACTCCAACCTGCAGGTGTCAGGGAAAAGGAATTCATGGTACCAACACTTGGACAAGACTAGATCATGGTAGCGGAGCAGGCTTTCAAAACCATGGACGTTTGCTGTAACTTTCAAACTTTGAGCCTTGCAGGTTGCAGCGGTTTGCCTGAAGACAGCTTCAGTCTTTGGATCCAATGCTTGCTTGTCAGTCACGAGGCTAATGCGGCAGCACTTCTCCATCAGGTTCTCTGCCAGCCTCAACGACTCAGTGTTAACAAAAGGCTTGGCAAATTGCAATTCAGGGAACCCCAAGAGAAGACCAATAGAACAAATCAAAAATTGGATGAATCTTTGCCAAACAACTCCTTTCCAATTTGCATTTGTGATTTCTCGTGCATCACCTTGACCACATGGCTCCGCCGCTGGCACTCCTCAACCCCTGTGTTGTGCTGGGTCATCGCAGAGCAGTCCTGAGCCAACTTCGCGCGAATCTCCCGGAACTTTGCTGCCTGGCTCTCATCCTCAATGTCCATCAATTCAGCTGCGCTGTGCACCTTGATGGGGACAGAGGGAGGCTCCACCATGTCGGTCCACAAACCCAGGTGCTGCAGCTTCCAGGTCGAAAGCTTCGAAGTGATGGTGGCTTCAATCTCCTGATAGTAGTCCCTTAGCTCACGCCCACCCAGAAGAAACATGTGAGTATAGGGTGTAGGAGAAACAAAGCGCCCAAATAAAAAAGGCTTGAGGAGTTCCAAATTCTTGCAACATTAGCCAAGTAACTTTTGGAAAAAGGCTTTCAGAATCATCTTCTCCTTCTCTTCAGTGAAGCTTGCAAGAAGCCTTGCCTCCCGAAGCACCGATGCATAGACACAGGCGAAGTCACAATGCGCATCAAAGGTTGATGTAGACCATCGGACTCTTGGCCTTGCGCTCGGTCGGAGCCGCCTGCCATTGTCCAGGAAACATTGGACAGTGAGCTGCAAGTGCAGACTTTGGGCCTCCTCATTCACCGTGAGAACTTTCTTCAGTTCGGCAGGGCAGCTGGTGGACTTGGGACTAGTCCCCAGCAACCAACGCTGTGAGCGAAACTGCTCAGTGCTGAAGCAGCACTCCTTCCACTTGTGGTGGTCGACATGGGATCGAATAATGTTGCGGGATGCCTTGACTTTCAAGGGCCAAAAGGAGTGAAGACTCACATCTTGACAAAACAAAAGATAAAACTAAAGGGCCAAAAGGTAAAACCAAAGAGTACAAATCTTGAAGCAAAGCGCAACAGTGGTGCCTCCAATGATGTTCAACATAGCACGAAAGCGATCTTCGTCCATCTTGTGTTTTGCTTGCAACCCGGCCGACGAGTTGAACTCCTCGACAATCTCGCGTAACCGCTCTTCCGCAGTCATAGAAGGCAGGTGACGCCCATCGGCCTCCCGAATCTCCATTAACTTGGAGAAGCGAAGAGACAATTGGAGAGTGTTGGGACTTTGCCTCTCCGAGCCGCGGAATGAAAGGGTCATATTGCGGAAGCTTCGCGAGGTCTGGTCCATGTCGAAGGTGAACTTGGCCGAGGCTGACACCGCCCAGAACAAACAAGTTGGACTAACAAGTAAAGTAACAAGTAAGTCCACCCACACAAGCTTGCTGGGCTAATTTCTCAATAAGGCGCATGAACTGGAACCATCCAACACTTCTCCAACACTGGCACCAAAGGTTTGAGCCACTCAGCGCGTGAGGGATCAGTCATGTCGATCTCGCTTGCAGCTAGGAGCATAGTCATCACCACACTGGACCGCGTCCAACCTTTGACCTGGTTGATGCTCTGGCATTCGCAACGCCATGAATCTGACAGGGTTGCATGCTTTCAAAAATGTTTTACACATGTCCCACAGGGTCCCTGTGTCCCCACTTCTCCAGGCCACCCCACTCGCTTATTTTTGGACAGGTGTCGGGAGAGTTTGATTTGTAAGAAACCGTGCCTCCTGCTGTTTGCATGGACCCATCCAATGGCTCCCTTCCCAAGTCCACACCGCCGAACAGCATGGATTCGAAGGTGCTGATCCAATCTTCCATGCATGGATAGCCATCATCAGGCTTGTCGAACCTGAGCGTGGCGCGGGTGGTTGAAGAGTTGCGAAGATTGCACCCGAAAGAATATGGACATAGTATATATATATAAACTCATATTATGCATATATATATATAAGTATATATATATATATATCAGAGACATTGAACACCTGGCTGGTGACACAAAGAGTATGAAAGGCAACCTTGGGTACTTTTGAACCATCTCTCAAACACAAGTGTGTGTGTGTGTGAAAACTTTTGTACACAACAAGTCACCTCAAACAAGTGATCGGGACCTTCACTGTCTCGCCGTTCATGCTTGGGTCGAGAGCCTCACGTGCGCAGCTGGAACTAGAAAGGAGTTAGTGTAGAAGAAGGGAAGTAGAAGGAAACATGTTTGTGAAAAAAGTGGATGCAAAAAAGATGTGGATGCAAAAAGCAAGGAACTTGACCACTCGGCTTGAAGAGATATGGTTTGCCCAACCAGTTGGCAAAGTCGTGAAACCATTGTTCGATTTGACGGCAATGCAAGGCCCGAGTGGATTCATCTGGGGACACCATGACATCAAGCACGAGGCTGGCTGGGTGGGAGTCTCCCCAATGGCCTTCGCCACGGAAAGAGTCCACGTAGGTATGCAAGTCCTGCTACGTAAGTTGGTTTTGGAATGCAATAGCACGGTGTGTACCACTTCTTGAAGAACACTTTACAGTTCGAAGAATACAGATGATATGTTTGATTTCCAAACTTTGAACTATAGTTGATTTTTAGTCTTGGGCTCCTTGACAAGGCTCAAATCACCTGGTGGAAGCTTCTGCATTTGCTTCTCGTAGTTGGAGCACTGCCGCTTCACAGGTGGCTGCACATCATCCTCGTCTTTCTTCATGGCCAGGACCCTTTCTTCCACCTTCTGCTTGAAGGGCGTAGTGTTCGCCATTGGGAAGGGCTGTTGGCTTCCCAGCAGTCTACTTCAAGATTGCTGCAGTGGACATCCAACGAGTCCAATGAGTCCATCGATTCTTTTGTTGAAATCTTGATGGAGGATCAATGCACTCTGGGAGCTGCAGTCCATCGAAAACCTTGATTATTGAAGTTGAGGTTCAATTTTTTTGGGGTGTCCCTTAATTAAAATTGATGCTCACCTCCCAAAACCTAGGTTTTCAATGCACTCCAGCTCCTGCAGTCCATCGATAATTTTTTGGGGCCCCAACATCAAAGTCAATGTAGTGAGATTACTCAGTCCCCATGTTCCATGGGATCAATGCACTCTAGGTCCTGGAGTACATCGACCTTCCTCTGAGACCCTTGCAGTGAGAGGTATGTGCATCGAAACCACCCCGAGGGCAACCCAGGAGCTGACGGTACATCGAAAAAGCCTTGATAGCTCACATGAATGGTTGGGTGCATCGAAAGTATCTGTCCAAGAGCTTTGAAACCCTGCGGTGCATCGAAAAACACGTTCAGGGACGTTCCAGTACATCGAAACGCAACAACACAGACCTTAAGGTGCATCGAAAACCTCTGCCGGGACACCCTGGGTGCATCGAAAACGCCCGCCGGGACCTGCTGGGTGCATCGAAAAACTCTGCCAAGCCCCCCCAACCCCTACAGTGCATCGAAAACCTTTGAACCCAACTAGGAGGTTTCCAAACATGTTGAGAAGATATGAAAACATAGTTGCACACTGTGTTCCAAATGGCCCTGTGTGCTGGCGCCCCTGGCAATGCCTTTTGCTTGCCTCAGGCTACTTTGAGCTTTGATGAGAACATTGGCTTAGCCAGGAATCCCAAGATCCGGCTTGGGAATGGGATGGAATGGGTTTGGAGAGACACGGACCATTGGCCCCGAATCTTTCAATTGTGCGCCCCGCGAGCAAAGACCGCCCTTAATGGCACAGCAGGGGCAAGCGCATCCAACACCGCTTGGTGCATTACATACCTAGCTTGAGCTGGATACAGTGGTGCTTGGTCTTGGGTATGCCAGGGGAGCGGAGTCAAGTCTGTCTCCTCCCAATAGGTGTTTGATGCCAAGTCCTCCAGGTACTGACAGGCCCTTTGGTATCTGTGGCCATAAGTCTGCAGCACAGCTTCCTTCAACTTCCTCAACGCCACTGCTGCTGCTGGCTTATGGTTGTTGGCTTTCCTTGGGGGTAGACAGCAGACCCATGGGGTGAAAGAACAAATGGTTTGCGGTGTGCATTTTGGAACTTGGGTCCGAAAGAAATACTGTATCAATAGAACTTGTTTTGAAGCTTTCAACCAATAGCTTTGTGGTCGGTACCAGGTCCATCCTTGCAGCACGATGGTTTGTAAGAACCAGCATTGGTTCCTGTGATAGCTCGGAGTCACAAATGTGTTTCTTGATGAAAGTGATGACATCAAAGTCAGAGGGCGCTCCGCGGAAGGAGCCGTGGTTGATGTTCCGGGCAAAAGCTGGCGGTACATCTGCAGGGTTTAAGTTCAAGTTATATATATCACAAGGCCATTGTTTGGGCGCACCTAGGGTCTCAAAGACAAACCCCCTCATGTAAAGGGTCCCAAAAAGATTGCGAGGAAATTGTTTAGTGTCCCTTTCCTCGTCGTTGCATAGCCAAGAACAAATGATTTCCCTCATCATCTCTGAGCAACCCTCCCTCCAGCTTAACGCCAGTGCTGGAGACGTGGTTTTGCCAATCCCGGGTGTTGTTCAGCTTGCGTACGTTGACGGTTGTAGTGGGTCCCACCCAGTCCTTGATGGATGGCTTTGTCAATTCATCTTTTATGGCGTCCATCACATCAGTTGGATCTTGAAGGTCTGATTGGGATGCAATTCTTCTGCTGATGATGCCCCAGCATTGATCTCAGTAGGTTGCTACACAGTGTCCACCCCAAATCATGACTCCTATTTGACTTGGACCCTAAATGAAAAATTGCTAAGCTCAGTCAGAGCACCGATTTTGCAATGCGTGTGGCTCTTTCTGAGGTGGCATAGGCAAACCACCCGGAAACGGTGTTTGGCAGCCAATAGATGGAGGTATGAGAGGAAGTACTGATTCTTTGCTTCTCTGACAGTGTTGTCTGCCTTAAGATCTAAACACGCAGAAACCAAAGTCTTGCAATGTGTCTTGAATGGTCTTGGTATCAGAAACTAGTTTGGCCACAAAATATGTTTGGAAACCTTTGTTCTAACCAGATGTCAAGACACGTTAACCAATAACGCTGACGGTCGAGGGCAATTGGATTCGTCACACTGACGCATCACCTGCTAGTGAAACTTGTTTCTGATAAAAACGTGATCATCGTTTTAAGGAGAGTTATTTCTTCAGGTTGAGTACCACGTACAGTTTTTTGAACCAAGGGTCGTCCTCTATTGTGATCGCGATGATCTCGGTTATGGCCGCCGAGTCATGGCGGCTGTATTCGTCTAAGACGAACACATTCAATGCAAACCCGTAGGCCCATGCCCCGTGAATCTTCATCCGAGGCCGTTGATGTTTGCTCCTGAAGGCGCTAGCCGGTCGATGTTAGGATTTGGAGTTGAGGGCCAAATACTATTAGAGGCTTAGAGGACCAAAAGGTTCCTTTTCTAACGATGTTGTTCCAAGAATCAAAGCGGCGTTGGCTCTCAAGCCTGGCTCTCTTGGGAGAGCAAATTTTGATTGGTCTAAGCCGTCTGTGCTGATGAACAATATGCCAGACTGGTGGTCGGTCCCCTCAGACTGTAGCTTCCATAGAGTGCACCGGTCTGCAAATTGGTCGTGTAAATGAGACCTGTATGTATGGAGTGTTCCTAGCTTTTGGTCCATTGTGAAGGAGCGATCCGCCAATTGAGCTTTGAGAACTGCGCACACTTCACATGTTGTGAAAAGCGACTTTTGGCGAAATTGAAGCACATCTTTCCATCTCCGTTTGTACACATCAGTGAATGTGTTGTACCTTTGGCACGGCCCCAATTCTACAAGGAAGCCACCCCTTTTCACCCCAAAAAATTGTCAAACAAGCGTGCGCAGGGCGGCCAAGAGACCCAACACAGTGACCACCGAGAAGTGATTGGGTCGACTTGTAGTGCTCAAACAATTCCATCAAGTTCCCTGGTGGAAGGAACTTCCGAACTAGAGCTTCGCCCGGGACAAGGCCAAGCCTGTTGCACCCCTGAGTTGACAGCCACTGTTTTAGGTCTTCCATTTCGACCTCAGAATCTAACTCCTCAAAATCACTCGGACCATCGTCGTCCAGATCAGGCTTCCTCCGGGCTGCGCGGCCTCTGCGGATGAACCTGACAGACAAAGAGCAGGCCCTAAGATACAAGCATATGAGTGGCAACAGGTTGAGAACATATGAGAACATCATGCTTTTCTGATTCACAGGTTGAAGACTTGGCTTAGGACAAGAAACTGATCAGGAAGTGTCTCAGCGATGGAGTCGTAGCAAACTTGCAGGAATGCGTCTACTGTAAACGTTCCTGGTTTTGATCTATGCTCTCTCCTCCCAAAGCGTAAATCAGGTGCTCCAGCTGCCTGCCTTTCCAGCCGTTCTTGGCCGATGGCCAGAACCTTGAGGAGGCACTTCCTCCCGATCGGTTGGTCAAGCAGGGTGAAAGTAGCCCGGTTGTCACACTCGGCGAACTGCATGGCCAACTCAGTGACACAAAGACTAGAACAATTAGGATACAAAAGGCCCACAACCAAACAATTCTCTGCAAAGGTCTGCTTTGATTTGATAGACTTCAAAGTTTTGCAACCCAAATTGAAAGAAACGTGTTTATCTAATGTGTCCAAAGAACCAAGCCATCTTGGTCTTGCTTTGAGAGATTCCAAAACTTATTCACAAAAGCCGGCAACTCTTTGGAACCAGAGAACTGATTGAAGCAAGTCTTCCGTGCACCTTGGTGTACAGCTGGATGTCATACGGCAGAACCCACAGGTTTAGGAGCTTGGGAACTAAAATAGTGACTGAAACCAGAGAAAAAAGAAACATGATCTTTTGGCTAGGCACATTGGCATTGGGAAGCAGTGATGAGACGTTGCAAGCGTGAAGGGTCAAGGCCATTCTTTCTCTGGACACCAGAATTGTTTTGCCTCTCATAAGAAGCCACTGCTTTTCTTTTCGTGTTGTCATAGACTCGCGAAACTTTCTTGCTTTTTGGATCATCTATGTTGTCTTTCCAGAATGAAGACATCTGAAAATTTGTCACACAGCGCCATCCCAGTGAGAATACTGTCTTCTTTTGTGGCAAAAATTGATGGTCAGTGACGTCCGGTGCATCACAATCAAAGTCCTCATCAGGACCTGGGACTGGAAAGCTGCCTTGGGCCTCTGATTCCTCGGGCTCATCCCCGAATAGAACATGTGAAGC